TTCCATTTTCATGGGCAACATGATTACGGCCTCTAGCCAGAGCATTCTCTTGCGTTTCCCTATATGGACGTATTACTGAGGCCATGAGAGCCATGGTTTGCTTGTACAGCGGCCAGCCCTGCCTTCATGGTGCTTCGAGTCAACTTTTGATTAATTAATTTGCCACATGCGCAACTCCAGCTGTAGCACAATGCCGGCTGAACTTGATCCGGGAAGTGAAAGACAGCGACGGGCTCAAGTTGCTTCTGGAGCAGCGGTTCAAGCTTTCACTTCACTCATCTTCTGTGCAAACCTTTACTGTGCGGTGATGCACAAGGTGCCTTGCAGGGCAAGTTCTGCCAGGGGGCAGACTCCTGCGTGGCCTGGTCGCAGAATCAGAGACAAGGGGGCTGCCATGCTTGCTGGCATTGGTTTTTACTGCATTCTTCGCCAACTTACAGCTATTGATTTTGTTGCACAGTCTGGCAAATCCATCTCCCGTCAAGGTGACCGCATTGCCACTGGACCGCCCGGGGCTTCCCAAATTTGCTGGTAGCATCATCGTAGAACGTTCGTGAAATGCCATATCAAGCGGCTCGTCATGCCACCTGCAGTCACAGACGTTGTTGCCCATAGTCACAGACGTTGTTGCCCATGTCGCCCTGCTGCGCGAAGTCAACAGGCATTGCGGTTGCCTGTGCTGATACAGTGAGCTGCACCGAAAGGCCGCAAGGTTTGGGACTTGGCATTGCTTTCACAGGCTGTGCAACCCTTGCTGAGAGCGTCGCGGCCGCAGGACTTCGGCCAGCAGACGCAAGCGTCCTTCTGCCCTGGGGCCGGCCTTTCGGAAGGGGAGGGCACAAACTGTCGCGAGGTTTTTTTTGAGGCGTCCAGCTTGCATTTGATGCGCCGGATGGCGCAGAGTTGGGGGAAGAGATGCCTCACACGACACCCTCAGAGTGAGCCGAGGCCCTTTATCCGACTGTCCTTTAACATGCTTTCTAGATCTAGCTAACTGTCTTCCATTGCATTAGGCTGACCTGTTGCTATACCTTCGACTGCGACATCCTCGTCCATGACACTGAGTCTCATGCAAAAACCACGGAAACCCTCTAGGATACAGCCTAGCCAGGGCAACTGTTCAGCTCTGGCCGGCCACCCGTGGTGCGTGCCGACGAAGAGCCTCGGACGTGTCCGGTTCTTTTCTGCGGAAGCTACCACTGCAAACATTCTTCAGTGTCCGGGGCGTGGGGTGTATGATCTCGTGTGGCGTAGCCGGCCACAAAGCTGTTCAGAAACCTTGGGGTAATGCCTCAGTACTCGCTTCGCAGGACGAGTTCAAATATTCACGTACGTTCATTGATACGCTCCGGCTCTGTTTGCTTCGGAGTAGCCTTCTTGGACGTATTCGGACATTAAATTAGTTTTCCAAAAGCAGGGCACGTTGCAAGCGAATCGGACACGAGGATCTCCCACCTGCGAAGCAATGATACTCGCTTTTGGGTTCCGCAGGTCCTCTAGTTCCTGAGCGACGATGCCAACCCGCTAGCACTATGTCACTATGCTTGCTGCTTACGTGGGTAAACTTGATCTACAAGTAGGTAGTGTCGTGCTCATGCCCGGAAGTGTCGGGTGGAAAGGGTTCCTGCGGATCCTTACCTCAGCATCACAGCCAGTGAAATGACATGTGCGAGGTATCTGGAGCTCTACAATGCTCCTATTGAAGCTTGGCTGCACAAGGTATCGAAGTGCAGGCTTTGGTGCTCTCAGTCTCAGATAGACCGATACGAAACACCAAGTCGCGGTTGAAACTCGAAGCAGGAGATCAACTGCAAGTCCTCCGGGCCGGGAACGCGGAAGGATGCGCCCTGGTTCACAGTGAGGGGGTTGTTAGTTGCTGGTGAGATTGCATCGGTTTGCCAAGTCAGCAACGCCGCACAGAAAGTGTTGGAGACGTAGCACTGTTAGCACTGTACAGCACCGGCCCAGAACAAGGATCTTGCCAGGTGTCCTTCCTCCATCAGGTTAACTGGCAGTCGCGCAGTTCTTGACACCTCAAAGCCCAGAAGCACATGATGTGGGACTTTTCTCAAAAAGGCTCAGAGAAGTGGTATGCCTCTTTTCTCTAAAAGAACTGCTCTGGGCCTCGCCCTGAGGGCCATCCCAGCGGCTGCTTCTGGTTTCTGAAGGCTTTGCCCCGCGAGGACGCCTTGCAGTGCTCTCGCCGTAGAATGCCACCACCCCACCCCCCGGGTCTGTCAGCCGGGTCTGTGTAACGGCAACTAAAGCCTATAGATGCCTATAGCATAAAGCAATAGAATAAATGAGTCGCTGGAAATTCTCACAGACCGCACTATGACGAGGATGAATCAGTTTGCAGTAGAGCTCGGGAACGCTAGTAGCCGGCCGCATGTCGATGACCTCAGAGTGTAGCTTTCTTCTGACCTCGCTTTTCTCCCTTCCTGCCTCGTTCAGTCTGATCTTCGGTTGCTCACGTTTTGTCCGCCTGACGTAGTTTGGTTCCTATATGTCTCTCGCTCGCGCTCTCAAAGTCATTGCTGCAGGCTGCCGTTGCAGCAGAATTCAACCACCCACGTTCAAACGAAATCCGCCTGACCGTCCGAGCTGTCCGCTGGAGGTTGCGACGGTCCACCAGGCCTCAGCCGCGTCCGGCTCGAGTGGAGCCGGAAGCCATAATGATTACAGGAACAGTTGAACCCGTTCTTTGTTTGCAAGTCTCCAGCAGGGTGTCCAGGGGACGAGAAGGCTGTAAGTACGCCAAGCCAACAAGCAGAGCCACGCGGCAGTCACTCATGCAGAGCATGACATACGAGCTCTCTCTAATTTCAAGCAACAGCTCGAAGGCTGGGTCCTAAGGAAGTCAGATGAGAATAAATACAACAAAGCAGACTCATTTCAGTTGTTCTGTTCGCTCAATGAGATGTAAAAATCATGACGACAGTAATGCAGTAATGCCTGTCTGTCGTTGCGGCAAGGACTTGCAGCGTCTCCCCGGCATCATCATTGTTCCTGGGCTGCGATGTAGCGTGGTCTGTGGCATGACATGCACTGCGACCGTTGTAGAGCGCTGATGTTGCAAAACATCGCTTCCTAGGATCCCGCGCGCGATCAAGCGCTTTGAAAGCCCTGAGCCCATCCAGCGAGGACAGAAACAACCCTGAGAAGGGCTCGCGATGGCTGAAGAGGTGCCTCTCCCTATCTCAGGAGGGCTTTGCCGGGGTAAGGGCCTCAAAGCTTCGGGCTTGAAGGCGTAGCACAGTGTATTGTAAAGGGTTTCCTGAGGTGTAACCAGATCATGGATCACAGATAGAAGTCTTCGGTTCGGGTATGTCGTGGCAGAGACCGTCGGGCCTCCCCGAGATTCAGATCTCAACTCGTGGCCCTACTCAACATCCTCATACCAGAGAAGCCGTGGTCGTCTGACATCCAGCATTTTAAGAAGTCTAAGAGCCCTGACGACCACGTGCACACCTGATCAATAGACATGTGCCCGCCACAGTCGGTGCCACAAGATCCTACAAACCTACACATACCCCCAAACTGTATGAGCCGATGAGCCCGTAGCAAGTCCCCCCACACATCGCCACACCCCAAACCCCATTACCCTCAACCATGGACCTTGAACAAATCCATAGACAAAAACCACGTACTCCCCAACCCTACAGAAAAGGTATGGCCGAGGACTCACTTTCGAGGAGGCCGAACGTTGGGTGCAAAGAGGGTGGCTGGCCCCTTTCTTGCACTTGAGGAGTTAGGGGGCTTTTCGAATTATCTGAGGGCTTATAAGGTGTCGATATGTGTCGAAAGTTCAACTTTCAGGTCTGTGGCAGATGTAAACTTGCCCACTATGTCCGTTGTTTGCACCAACGTGAGCGGAGGGTCCAGCGCAGGACGCAAGACAGACTTGAGAAAAAAATGGGGATGCTTACAGCACGAATGCAACAGTGTGCAGAACTTTGGCACGATAGCAAGAGCTTTGGCATCAATGCAGTTTGTCAGACTCCCCAGCACCGGAAAATCATATGGGTAGTCTGAGACTTAGAGTGGAAGACTGGCGCCAACGACCTTTAAAGTCATTCCCGACAGCGTGCAAGTAGGAGTACCTCTTCTCCTTCCCTGCAGAGTGGGTTTAGCGGCTCCGACCGTTGGTGTAGGTACAATGTTTACTCCATCTCCAACAGTGCCCCTTCGAAAGCCGAGGTGGATCCGAAAGACTATCCGCCAGATCCGAACAATGCTAACGATGCAGATGATCCCACCTCGCCGCCTGTCACACCTCAGAGGGTTTCAGGGTGCTGCGTATTGCTAGCATTCCGCGAAGCGCGTCCATAATGCCGACATCAGTCATGACCGATGATCATAGCACTGGGTCATGATGGATCATCACGGATGTTGCCTTCTGCATCCTAGTGCTGTTGTTTGCTCACTCGGCTCCATCACTATGGTCCTCATTTTCATACTGCAGTCATGAGTGCAACAGCGGCTGCTGTTGCCGCTGCTACTACTACGACGGCTGCTAGTGAGCACTGAGGCTCGGTCCCGTAGGCTCTGATACTTGGTCACAAAAATTCCTTGCCAGCCAAGGATGACGGTAGAGGAGCCGTTGCTGAAGCCACTGACTATTTGGATTTCGGGGCCTTCCAAGTCCGCAGAGAACCGACGGACCTGACTCCTTGAAGCTCCAGGGGTGCGACACTGGTGGTACCACCGACCTTGTAGACCGCAGCTGCAATGAAACTCTGGCGCAGACATATCAAAGATAGATGTTTAATCCTGGTTCGGGGATCCCGCGCTCGTGAAAGGACTGTAACGGGTCTTCCGACTCACACTAGGGTCCTCAGAAAGCAGTTGGACTACGACTCAGTACGACCGAAAACAGCCTCAAAATCCCTAACCCCTAACTCGAGATGGCAGAACATCCCTTTCTTCTTCAAGCAAGACCACCGAATTCGTGTGATTGGGGTCCATCATGAATACACTCCTTACGGATGGTGTTTCATATGTGTTTCATTGAACAAAGGGACGGCCACGATCCGCACACCCTACACGACATCAGGAGCACAACGCCGACGTCGCGCGGCGACGTGCTGAAGAAAAGTCGCATCCGCCTGGCGCCGTTAGGCCCGTGGCTTGGACCGGAAAGGTTCACGAAGCTGTGAAGGCGTGGACATTTTTGGTATGCATATAAAGAAATGTGCATACGCACGAATATACAAGAAGGAAACTGTGGACACTCATGGCTTCAAGGGTGCAGAGGACTTGGGGCAAGGAATGGGGCGGAGGTGTGGGTTTTACTTCTGGGCTTTAGCTTGGGGGTTGGAGTCGGAGGGCATGTAGAGCTTGAGCAACAGAGCCATCCCCTTCCAGCTCCTGAGCAGAGAAAAGCCTCAGCGTTTCGGGATCTCGCTATTGGGCCGCTGGGGCGTGGAACTACCAAACCAGATCTCGACTTCATCACCGGTAGGCAAGAAGAGAGCCATTTCTGGTCGCCCCCTGAACCAAGATGCCACGACGGACGCCTCCGGTTGAGATGGGAGAACCACCGGCGAAGCCCGTGGACTTCTCAGCCCCATGGCGATGAAGGTTCAATGGGCCTTGCATCACGTGGAAGTATGTTAAATGCGGCTTGTATACGAGTGCGCATTGACAAACACCATCTAGACCTAGAGTAAACAACCCAAAGTACTAAAAGTAGTTAACTTGTGCCGCAGTTGGCTGAGCTTACTCCTGCATGGGCTGTATGATGCTTGAACCGCATTTCCAAAGCGGTTTCCCATGATCGCTGACGTTAAAATCCTTGCGAAGCCCAGCCCAGCTCATGAAGGGCCCCCAAGAGCTCTTAACATTATGCAACTGTCCAACCAAGGCCAACACTGCGCCGACTTCATCTGGCATACCTCACCCGACACACGGCCTGCCTTGGTTGCTTAAGTGATGCACATGTCCGATTCTGCACAAAGCTGCGTGTGTGGCCAGATGCTACGGTACCCCTTCTGAAACCATAGCTCCACCTGTTGGCCAAGCCAGACCTGTACATTCCCAAGTGTTCGAACAGTGCAACCTGAAACAAGTGCGTACTTGGCGCATGGCTTGGCCAAAGTTAGGCACAGTTCTTCCGCTACCATCAGCGCGACGTGTACGAGAGCGGAACGATCATTTGTAGTAGAAGAAAGAGTAGTAGGTAGTAGTCGTCGTCGCAGTAGTAGCAGTGGTAGCAGGAGCAGAAGTGTAAGCAGCAGCAGTAGCAGTAGCAGCGATGAAGGTCAAATGTGATCCCTTGCAAGGGGCCGCAATCCTTGCAAGAAGACTGCTGCGAAAAGTTGCATTGCATGCAAGTTACGTATGACTTAAGCTAGGGTCGTGACCGCAGCGAACATGAGTCTGTGTATCTTCTCGCTGCGCGTGCTACCAGATTGCAGTTCCATTCAGATATCTGATTGAGCTTTACTGCTGCTCATTGAGCTCGCACAGTCTTCGCTGCACACGGCTCGTTCGCGCCGGAATCGCTGTAGTGAAGCTTGCAGCGTTCAAGGAAGCCCCGACGGGGCAACAAGCCGAATGACAACAAGCAAGACTCCTACGAAAACGTCGAGGAGGGAGGCCGGGTCCCGACTCGCTTTTTTCTATGCGGGGATGGCGCAAGTGTCGTAGTATCGGGACATATGCATATGCGCACAGATAGCTTACATAGCACCCGGCACTGGAGCCAGTTATCTTCGACCAGGTTTTTATTGCAATGTGCGACGGCTATCGGAGGACGTCTTCAACCATGATCTTTTTTGACTAAATTTACATTGCTCCGGCCCAGGTGCTGGCAGGATCGGGGACGAGGGTGAGGAGGAGGATGCCATGCCGCTCTTGGCAGGCCGATTAATCGAAATTGGAAGTTTCCGATGATGGCAACAATGCTGGTGCCACAACCTCTGCCCGTGACCACATTGCAACTACCCATACTATCCAATACTTGCAGCTTGACAGAGAAGCCTGATCCATCCAGGTCTGTTGGGGCCACCACCACATCGCCAGACTGGACGTGCCATTCAGCTGCAAGGTTGTTGATGCATGATGATGCATACTAGCGGCAACAGAATTCGGAGGTCGGGCGATCCCGACCTTCAAAAATGGGAACCAGCTGGATAGGAAAATTAGCCCTGTGCCAGGCTCCCACGCGCTGCAAACGCACGAAGAGAGATGCGAATCTGGGCTGCATAGCGACTTCCAGCAGTCGGAGCAGGGAGAGCCAAGGTTAGAAGCCAAGAGCCCGGGTCCACACTGCACCGCACAGTTTCTTCTTACTCTTAAGCACATAGCACCGGGAGGGAATGTGGCGACCGGAAGATCGTGCGCACCCAAACCGCGGAGTGTATAGAGCAACATCCACGGTGTTGGTTGGAAGCCGATCCTTCTAGTTGTAAACAGATAGAATGGGTCCAACAGCAGCCTGCAGACACCGTCTATGACAGAAGTTTCACGCATTTCAGGCTTGTTTCATAAGCTGCATCGGAGGAGGCCCAAGGACGGTATGGGTCGGCCTCCAGGTGTGGGAACTGTGCGGCAGAAGGCTTTGTTGAAAAGCTGTCCACCACCGAGATCCCAACTTTGCATTTGCGTGCCTTCTGACTTTAGGCTTCAACACGCTTTGAAAGCCTGTGCCCAGGATTGTCGAGTTCTTGTCCACATGATGCACCCGGAGGCTTGTTTCACCGCGGTGTTTCAGGGAATCTGTACATGAACCAATTACGAGGCCCACATGGCTGCCGTGATTCGGGCAGTATGGTGATCGAGGACTGTAGGTCTTCACCTTGTCGCAATGTTCGAAAATTCCGGTGCAAAGAAGCCGAAGAAATGTCCCCACAAGCTCTGCATTTGGAGCGAGTTACACCTGCTGAGAACCATGTCATTGAACGTGTCCGATCCAGCTTATCCGCTGCGATGTATTCACAGCAAAAAGCAGCCCGCTTTCTCCGGAGTTTGTACTTAGATCCCAGACCTTTGTCGCCATGCTAAACGACAATGAAGCGAGAGATGGTTGATTCTCTGATTGTTTAGTCTAGATTCGAGAGAATAGATCGGGATTTGGCTTGAACATTGATACTTGCAACAAAACTGCAGCGTTCTTGCCCCATGTCCCGCTCCGGGCACGACCCCCTTCCCTTCGGGTGAAAATCTAAAAGTTTTAACATCTCCGCTCAAGTCGCATCCCTATGGCGAGCTTAGGCTTCTTGAAGCCATGCCTGCCTTGGGCGAGTAAGGTCGAAACCACAGCGCCTAAAGCCCTCTTACGAATAGAAGACGCGAGTATTGAAGAGGTGTATTACATTTCTCAAATTTCGGCATCTTGAGTTTTTACTGAATTTGCGAATGATAGATGTTGAAAGGGAAATCGTTAATATGAGTTGCTTAGAATATCTAGCAATTGTTCACAAGAAAAATTGTATTTTTGACGTCTCATAGTTGAAATTCTGTTGTAATTTATGTTCTATTGGATGATGTATTGATATACACGTCTATTTTCTAGGTAATTTTCAATTTACTTCTCTAACCAAACGGTGTCGTGTTGGTACGTCCGTGATTCTGTGCACACCCCTGCACCCCGGTAACTTGGTCTTTTTTCCACGTTTCGTTGTGGAAACCTTTTGCATGGTTGTCTCGCGTGACTAAAGTCCTGGAAAGTTTAGTGTCGCGAGCACTTCTCGCTGTAATGAAATTCTACAGGGTTTTGGCGGAGGCTCCACGTCGTGGTATGTGAATGAAGCCAAGTATCAGTCGCAGGTCAGGGTTCGTGTCCGGTTTCGGTCCGGTTCGTGTTTGGTCAGTATCTTGGTCGTGTTCGTGTTTGGTTCGTATCTGGGTTAGTGTATGGTTCGCGTTTGGGTTCGTGCCGAGTTCGTGAGTGGTTCGCGTTTAGTCGCGTTTAGTTCGTATCTGGATTCGTGTCTGGTTCATGTTTTGGGTTCGTATTTGGTTTTGGGTTTGGATTCCTATAAGCTCCTGCTTGGATTCATGATTGATCGAATTGGATCGTATTCATTACGAAAAATATTGTTAATATTTGATTTCTGATAAGCTCGTCGATTTGGACAAAAATTTAAGAGTATAGATAAATAGTACGGTCAATTTCTTCTTGATTATTAGAAAATTTGCGTTTTATTTCTTCTTTCAAAAATATATTTATATTCTGAGGGGGATTTCGATATTGGAAAAAATATTTGATATTAGATTTGAAATTTAGGTCGAAATTAACATAGAAAAAATTCTCTGAGATCTATTCAAATATTCTGATAATCTCGATTCTTCTCTATTCTACTATATTCTCGGAGAGACGATAAAAAAAAAATATGATTGATATTATATATATTTCTATATATCTATGAACATGAAAATGAAATATTTCTATATTTCTATTCAATGATAGATTTATTTTTCTCTTATTTCTCAGATTCTAATTCACGAAGGCTTTCTAACTAATAATGGAATTCTCTTCTCCTTCTTCTCTATTTAAATTAAGCTCTTTCGAAAAAAATAATATATTCTATCTCTCTCTCTCTAAATTCTTGTTTAGAATTGCTTATAAATTGCGATATATTCGTCTTACCAACATAAATATATATTATAAATAGTGAGGATTCTATATACGAAGAAATATAGATTCACGAAATACCGATAGTTTATCGACCATATTTCGGAAGAAAAAATACAAAAAAATCAATATAAATATGATAGGATACTATATTATATCGAGGTCAAAAGTAAAATAGCTATTATAACGAATATAGTTTTCTGTAGCAACTCCATATCAATAGTAATATCAAAGATAATAAAAAAAAATACGATGGATACTTAGAATATAAAATGAAGCTATAATAGATCTCATAAAATAAGAAAGAATGATAGAAAGAAAGCGAATTTCTAACGGTGTTACTAAAAAGGAAGCAATCCGGATTCATGTCCGGGTCGGATTCGTATTTGGTTAGTATCGGGAATCGAATTTCGATTAATATCTAGATCGTATTTGATTATTCGCGCTCGCTTTCGTATCTGGGATATATCTGATTCGTATCTGGATTCGTATTTGATTTCATATTTGATTCGTATCTGAGTAGTGAATCTAGATTCGTATCGATTTCGTATTTGAAGGACGTCTAATTAATATTTGATTCGTGAATTTATCGGATTCGTAAATAGTTTTATTTTTAAATCTTTTTCTATATTTATTAGAATCTATTTCTTTATATCTCTTTATTTCTCTTTCTAGTTCTTTCTTTATATTTCTTTCTTTCATTCGTTTCTTCTCTTTATTTTTCTCTGCCTCTCTATTTCTTTCTATCTCTCTATATTTCTCTTTTTCGAATGATAGAGAGAAAGAGAGACCCCAGATCTGAATCGATCACGATCCCCGATAACGATTGATAATTAATTTCTTTCAATAGATCCTAGATTAGAATCTCTGCCAAAAACCTATAGACGTTCATTACCGCGAGAACATTCTCCCAAAATCCGCCGAGGCCACAGGCCCAGACATCTTGAAGATTCTTCACAAGCCCAGAACTCAGAGCCACTTTTGGCTGCTCTAGTAGCACCCAATAATTTCTATTTCAAAATATGCAACTCGCAGATACCCTGCTTGAAGCTGCGCGCCTCTAAAATATCATATATAATGATCTCCCAAAAATGGTATTTCAACGTTCGCTTCTATTTTATTTTTAATACCGTCGTGGTATATCCTAAGACCCGTCGCACGACCTACCAGACCTAGTAGCCTTTTAGATAAGGTACCCCAGGTAACCTCCACCTCCTCCTAATTCTGCGTTCATTTGTCGTCCCTTTGCCCGGCTCCCCTCATTTTATCTAATTTGAAAGCCCCCTCAAGAGGCCTCGATGCCAATTTGAGCCTGAGTGGTTTTTAGAATAAAGTATCTGACGAATATAGCCTAGTTTGGGTGGATTTCAATGTTGAAAGTACCAGGGGGGCGCGTGGTTGAGGCATATTGACATGGATTCCATTGTTCTAGACCCGTGTGTATTCTTTTGAATCACGATAGAAGCAACGTCATCCTCCATTTATTTCAGCATCGATTCTTCTCTTTCCGCTGCCCCAAGCTTTGAAGATGACTTGAAGGTGCTCGCTTTCTATACAAAGCAAACCGGGTTCGAGGATGTCTGCCAGCAGTTTCGGGCTGATGTCCGGCCGGCATGGATCCAAATCTTTCTCAGCACTTGTGCGAGCAGGTCAGAGACTTGGAACCTGTTGTCCGAGCGTGCTGCCACTTCCACAATGCCTGCAAGAGGCTCAGCTTAGCTCTGTGGTGTTCCAAAAAGCCGTCGGAATTGATCATCTCGTCGAAGACCCAGGTACCATCTGGTAAGCAACACAGACCACGCCTTGAACTCCGTCCGCTGTCCCTCTGATCCGCTGTTGCGCTGTTGCTATCCGCCTGCCCCTCGACTACCACTGTGAAGTCACCACCACGGCGGAGGCAGTCTTCCCCTCAAGGCTTGGCAGAGCTGAAAAACAGCCACGGTTGCGTACTTCAAACGTTGTTGGCGCTGCTGAAGCAGTGCTGGGTTCAAACACACAAACTCGTCACATTGAGAAAAGGACGAGTTGGTTTTTGAACCCAGTATTGCGGCAGTAGTCAACACTCCTGAGTGAGGCATTCCGTAGACTGCACAATGCCTGACTCATGAGCCGTTTCACTGCTCTTCTGTGAGGCCACTCAAGATCGGAAGGCACCGAGCAGCACTACAAGTTTCCGAAATTCGTAAATCTGAGATGTACATTCGGAGACTTCTTGTACCGTGTCGCCCTGCATTTCCAACAATGGTGTTCTTTACTGGCAGCTCCAATCCCGAGGAGCGCTCCGGAGCAACGACATTCTCCGAGGCGCTGGAACCAGCCATCGAGGGCTTAAGAGTCAACACAGCGAATAGTGCAGAGGGTTTGTAGCATCATCGATTTCTGAAGTCACGAGTCCCTAGAATCTTAGATGGGAATCTTGCCTCTTGTTAAAGGATTTTTTTAAATCCTGCTGTGTTTCGGCCTTCGACGCCTGGAAAAAGGTGTAACAAAAATCTTGGGCGGGGCCTTGCTTTGGCTGAACACTCACAGCTGGGGGGGGTCATGAATGAAGCTTATGTATCAGCGAAAAATCACAGACAACCTGAGTTGTAGCCCATACTACAAAAGATAGAAATAGTTGGAAACCATTTTCTAATATACTGTGTATGTTTCAAAAAACATAAATGCCTATTTCGATTTCTCGAATGCAGGCAACCACATGTCGAGCACCAGTTTCAAATATTTCAGGTTATCGAATTAGGTTCGCAAATTCGTGGGACCACATCAAATGTCACAGAAAACAGAATTAATGCATTTCAAGTTGTTCTTTGTTTCATATGTGTTTCTGCAGCCACGACACGTGCACACATGCCATGTGGTTTCGTGGTTTTCAAGGCCCTATATTAATTCTTGGCTCGTATAATAATAGGCTTCTTTAAAATTTGCCAGGTTCGAGATGTAGGCCCATTGCTTCATGAAGGTAGGAACAATAGCTTCTAGGTCATCTCACCCAAGGCTGGAACAACAGATAGATTCCTACCTTCTCCTACCCCCCTTTCAGACACCACAATCCAAAAGCCCCAATCCCCAAAGCCCTAAACCCTAAGCCTAAATAACCCTATAAGCCTAAACTCCTAAATACCCCGAGTACCTTTCAGGGCCCTGCAGGCAAGCTCGGCGACAAGGCGAAGGAGATCAGACGGCGCCGCGAAGGCGCCAAAGAAAAGTGCCGCGATGGCGCAAGACGACGACGACGACGCTGCGAGGGCGCAGAAACGTTCAGAGAAAATGTGCCGCGATGGTGCAGAAACAGACAAGATGCGCCGCGATGTCGCAGAGAAGAGGACGACAGAGCATGCGCCGCGATGTCGCAGAGAAGAGGACGACAGAGCATGTGCCGCGACGGCGCAGTGTCAGTAGCTAGTGCACCGCGAGGGTGCAGAACTCT